TTCAAAAAGCATTGTTTGAATGTCTTTGAATTTTCTTTGGTTTCAAAAGCTTTGTTTAAACGTTTTTGATTTTCATTTGATTCAATTAGCTTCGTTTAGTGCATTTGACTTTCATTGGATTCAAAACGTTTTCTTTGATTGTGTTTGACTTTCATATGATTCTTAAAGCTTTGTTTGAATGTGTTTGATTCATTTGATCCAAAAAGCTTTGTTTGAATATGTTTGAATGTGTTTGACTTTCAATTGATTCAAAAAGCTTAGTTTAAATGTGTTTTAATTTCATTTTATTCAAAAAGCTTTGTTTGAATGTATTTAACTCTCATTTCATTGAAAAAGATTTGTTTTAATGTGTTAAATTAAACTTTCATTTCATTTAAAAAGCTTTGGTTGAATATGTTTGAATGTGTTTGACTTTCATTTTATTCTAAAAGCTTAGTTTAAATTTTTTTTAGTTTCATTTCATTCAAAAAGCTTTGTTTGAATGTATTAGACTCTCATTTGATTAAAAAAGCTTTATTTTAATATTTTTAACTTTATTTCATTTGAAAAACTTTGTTTGAATACACTTGACTTTTATTCGACTCAAAAAGCTTGGTTTGAATGTGTTTGACTTTCATTTGATTCAAAACGCTTTGTTTGAGTGCATTTGACTTTAATTTTATTCAATGAGCTTCGTTAAAAGCATTTGACTTTCATTCGATTCAAAAAGCTTTGTTTGATATGTTTGACTTTCATTTGATTTAAAAAGAATCGTATGAATGTGGTTGACTTTCATTTGACTCAAAATATTTGTTTAAATGTGTTTTACTTTAATTTGATTCAATTGGCTTCATTTAGTGCATTTGACTTTCATTCAACTCAAAAAACTTTGTTTGAATGTGTTTGACTTTCATTTGATTCAAAAAGACTTGTCTGAATGTTTTTGAGTTTCATTTAATACAATTATCTTCATTGAATTCGTTTGACTTTTATTCGATTAAAAATCTTTGTTTGAATGTGTTTGACTTTTATTTGATTCAAAAAGCATTGTTTGAACGTCTTTGAATTTTCTTTGATTTCAAAAGCTTTGTTTAAATGTGTTTGATTTTCATTTGATTCAATTAGCTTCGTTGAGTGCATTTGACTTTCATTGGATTCAAAACGTTTTGTTTGATTGTGTTTGACTTTCATATGATTCTTAAAGCTTTGTTTAAATGTGTTTGATTCATTTGATCCAAAAAGCTTTGTTTGAATTTGTTTGAATGTGTTTGACTTTCAATTGATTCAAAAAGCTTTGTTTAAATGTGTTTTAATTTCATATTATTCAAAAATCTTTGTTTGAATGTGTTAAATTAAACTTTCATTTCATTTAAAGAGCTTTGGGTGAATATCTTTGAATGTGTTTGACTTTCATTTTATTCTAAAAGCTTAGTTTAAATGTTTTTTAATTTCATTTCATTCAAAAAGCTTTGTTTGAATAATGTATTAGACTCTCATTTGATTGAAAAAGCTTTATTTTAATATTTTTAACTTTATTTCATTTGAAAAACTTTGTTTGAATACACTTGACTTTTATTCGACTCATAAAGCTTGGTTTGAATGTGTTTGACTTTCATTTGATTCAAAACGCTTTGTTTGAGTGCGTTTGATTTTAATTTTATTCAATGAGCTTTGTTGAAAGCATTTGACTTTCATTCGATTGAAAAAGCTTTGTTTGATATGTTTGAGTTTCATTTGATTTAAAAAGCATTGTATGAATGTGGTTGACTTTCATTTGATTCAAAATATTTGTTTGAATGTGTTTTACTTTAATTTGATTCAATTGGCTTCATTTAGTGCATTTTACTTTCATTCAACTCAAAAAGCTTTGTTTGAATGTGTTTGACTTTCATTTGATTCAAAAAGACTTGTCTGAATGTTTTTGAGTTTCATTTAATACAATTAACTTCATTGAATTCGTTTGACTTTTATTCGATTAAAAAAACTTTGTTTGAATGTGTTTGACTTTTATTTGATTCAAAAAGCATTGTTTGAATGTCTTTGAATTTTCTTTGATTTCAAAAGCTTTTTTTAAATGTGTTTGACTTTCATTGATTCAATTTTCTTCGTTAAATGCGTTTGACTTTCATTGGTTCAATACGTTTTGTTTGAATGTGTTTGATTCATTTGATTCAAAAAGCTTTGTTTGAATATGTTTGAATGTGTTTGACTTTCATTTGATTAAAAAAGCTTAGTTGAAGTCTGATGTGTAAGCAAGGTGAGAAACCTGTTTACAAACGGTCTGGAGTGCGTGTTGTGTTTAGTTGAATTTAGAAGTATCAATGTGGAGTAACTAAGAAGGATTAGGGGAACTCTCACCCTTAACCTTGAGGATATAACAATGAGGAACACTCACTCACTTGTTTGGGCGTAGTAGTGATTAGGGAACTCTCACCTATTCGACAACTACCAGTTTAAGTCTTAGGAACTCTCACTAAAACACAAACTCTTCAAATTGAGATAACTCTCAAGTTTGGAAAATTAAACCTGACTAGCACAAGTCAAATTTAGATCATACACTCGTGTGTTTCTTGCAAAAATCTGGACCATCTTTCATTTATCATTAGCATGCTATTTATAGCTTTTAGTATATCATTTAATTTCCACTACACTTAGCTAAAACAAGCAACAAATCAGAAATACAAAGCTGAAAATAAGGGTAGATTAAGTGGCTCATAACCGTCCAACCTAATCCCCATTACAACTAATTATTACTCTAATTAAGAAAGCTTATAACAAGGGAAGAATAACTCCCAAAACGTTCAGCAAATTGACTCCAACATGCTGTCCAAATTCGTCCTCCAAAGCAGCCTTGAAATGCGCCTTTGTAACCTCCCATTTAAGCCTTCATTCAAGCTCCTTTATTACGAAGTTAAACCAGCTTGAAACTCTCCTTAAAGTCTGCATTGAATCCGTCTACATTCCCCCATTATCAAGGTAATTAGTCACGCTCAATATGGTGCAACCAGTTGAGGAATTATATGGACCGTGCACACCAAAATCCATAGGAGTAGCATCGAAGAAAGACTTGGACAAAATCAATTCCCTAACGTTCAACTCTTGGACTGGAATATCCAAACCTTGACCACTTTGGTCATCCTCCCCTTCTTCAAAGGGAATTGCCCTCAATTCTTCATCATTATAGTACGGTGCTAGATCCCCCACATTGAATGTGCTTGAGACGCCATACTTTCCTCCCAAATCTACCTTGTAGGCATTGTCATTGATCTTTTCCACTATCTCAAATGGACCCTTGGCTCGTGGCATGAGCTTGTTCTTCCTTTGATTGGGAAACCTTTCCTTCCTCATGTAGATCCACACTAAGTCACCAACTTCAAAACTTCTCACGTTTTTGACTCTCTTGTTGGCTTGCTTCTTATAGATTTCATTAGCCTTCTCGATGTTCTTCCTTACTTCCTTGTGGATTTTCACCATGAACTCGGCTTGTTCCTTGGCACCTCCATGCACGAACTTGTCTCGAGGCAACGCTATGAGATCAATTGGAACATAAGGATTAGAACCATAGATTACTTCAAAAGGAGAATACTTTGTAGTAGCGCTAGGAGTCCTATTGTAAGCAAACTCGGCATGAGCGAGTTTGACATCCCAATCTTTGGTGCTCTTACTAACCAAGGTCCTAAGCAAAGAACCTAGTACCCTATTCACCACCTCGGTTTGGCCATCGGTTTGGGGGTGATGTGAGGTAGAAAACAGCAACTTGGTTCCCATAAGACGCCACAAGGACTTCCAAAAATGACTTTGGAACTTTGTATCTCGATCTGAAACAATGGTGCGTGGGATTCCATGGAAACGAACAACCCCATCAAAATATAATTTTGCCACCTTCGTAGCATCCTCGGTTTTATGACAAGGGACAAAGTGAGCCATTTTTGAAAAACGATCAACTACCACCATGATTGAGTCCTTACCTCTTTGAGTTCTAGGTAAAGCCACAATGAAATCCATGCTTATGTCTTCCCAAGGTCTCTCCGGAATCGGCAATGGCTTGTAAAGACCTTTGTGAAACACCATCTTTGCCCTTTGACAAGTAGAGCAACGTGCTACAACACGGTGAACAGTGGATAGCATACTAGGCCAATAAAAGTGAGCTTGAAGAAGCTCCATAGTCTTTTGATCTCCGAAATGGCCTGCTAGACCTCCCCCATGCGCTTCATGAATCAACAAGCTTCGAATTGGACATTTGGGAATGCATAACCTATTTCCCTTAAAAAGAAAATTATTTTGTAAGGAAAATAATTCATAACTACCATTCACGCATTTCTCCAAAATGACCTTGAAATCATCATCTTCCTTGTAGTATTCTTTGATTAATTCGAACCCAAGGACTTTCGCCTCAACGACTCCAAGTAAAGTATGCCTTCGAGATAAGGCATCCGCAACAACATTCGCCTTTCCACTCTTGTACTTTGATGAAAAGTTAAATGTTTGCAAGAATTCCACCCACTTTGCATGTCTCAAATTCAACTTCTTTTGGCCATGGATGAACCTCAAAGATTCATGGTCAGAATGAAGTATGAAGGGTTGTGGTCTCAAGTAGTGCGACCAATGATTCAAAGCTCGCACCATTGCATAGAACTCCTTATCATAGGTGGAATAATTCAGCTTGCCTTGGCTCAATTTCTCACTAAAGTAGGCAATAGGACGCCCTTCTTGAATCAACACGGCACCAATCCCCTTTCCGCTTGCATCACACTCAACTTCAAATGGTTTTGAAAAATCTGGAAGTGCTAGGATGGGTGTATTGCACATTTTTTCTTTGATCATTTCAAATGCCTTTTGAGCTTGAGGAGTCCGCTCAAATGAGCCCTTCTTTGTGCACTCGGTGATAGGGGTCATGAGAGTGCTGAAATTACGAATGAACCTCCTATAAAAGGAAGCTAATCCATGGAAAGAACGGACCTCCGTGAGTGTCTTTGGACTAGGCCATGATTGAATAGCCTCAATCTTGCTAGGATCAACTTTCACTCCTTCTCCTGAAACAATGTAACCAAGAAAAGTGACCTCATATAGCATAAAATTACATTTTTCAAGTTTTCCATACAATTTTTGTTCTCTCAAAACCGTGAAAACTTTAAATAAATGTATCAAATGTTCATCCCCATTTTTGCTATAAATAAGGATATCATCAAGGTGCACCACCACGAATTTGCCAAGGAAAGGCCGCAACACCTCGTTCATCAACCTCATGAAAGTGCTAGGTGCGTTGGTGAGTCCAAATGGCATCACGAGCCACTCATACAAACCGTGCTTGGTTTTGAAAGCGGTCTTCCATTCATCTCCTTTTCTCATCCGAATTTGATGATAACCACTCCTCAAATCCACTTTTGAAAACCACTTTGAGCCACTCAGTTCATCAAGCATGTCATCTAGTCTTGGAATTGGAAACCTATAATTGATAGTAATATTGTTAACAGCCCTACTATCAATACACATACGCCATGTACCATCCTTTTTAGGAACCAAAAGAGCAGGAACAGCACACGGACTCATCGACTCACGTACATACCCCATACTCATCAACTCCTCAATTTGTCGTTGCAATTCCTTAGTTTCCAAGGGATTACACCTATAGGCAGGTTTGTTAGGCAAAGGAGCACCGGGAATGAGGTCAATTTGATGTTCAATTCCCCTCAAAGGTGGTAACTCTTTCGGTAACTCATCGGGAAAAACATCCTCAAAATCCTTAATCAACTGAGCTAATTTGGGATTTTGACTCACAAAATTTTCGTGGATCTCTTTAGAGTACAACAAGTATAATTCCTCCTCACCATCAATTTCCCTTTCGAATTCCTTAAGGGTAAGCAATGACACCTCCTTTGATTGTTTAGGATTTTGTGAAAACCGTGGGGGTGGTAAGGGGTGCAATTTTTTTTGTTTTCCTTGGTGAGTTATAGTGTAAGTATTATGGTACCCATCATGTTGAGATTTTCGATCAGTTTGCCAAGGTCTACCAAGCAAAATGTGACAAGCATCCATAGACACAACATCACACAGTTGAGTATCATGATAAGACCCAATAGAAAAACTAACCATGCATTGTTTCCTAACCCCCGTGCTAGAATTAGAGTCCAACCAACTCAACTTATAAGGATGTGGGTGATTTGTCGTTGTAAGACCAAGTCTAGCTATCAAGGTTTTGGAAACTGTGTTTGCCTCACTACCACCATCAACAATTAAATCACATACCTCGCCTTTAATCTTGCACTTGGTAATGAAAATATGTTGCCTTTGCGGTGCTAAGGGTTCGTCAACGCGAGCTTGCAACGCCCTTCTCACAACCAGATTTGTTTTGGTCTCTTCTTCGGGGAAACATTGCTCTTCCTCCCCGTCCCCTTCAGTAGAATTCACGTCCTCCACTTCTTCAACCTCGAAATCCTCCCAATTGATAGTTTGGTTAGCAATAAGCTTTACCTCTTGTATGGTCAAAGCTCTGGAATTTGGACAATCCTTCTTAAAATGACCCCTTCCTCCGCACTTGTAACAAACAATGTCACTCATTTTGAAATCTTTCTTGTCCTTCTTAGGTGGATCGTTGGCTTTGACAAAAGAAGAACCATCTTTGACAGGGAAGGTTGGTCTTCGTGCCGTTTGAGGGGTGACAATCGACTTCTTCTTCTTCCTTTTCGAATCAAACTTGATCACAAATTTGCAAGCTTCAGCAAAGGTTAAATTGGTGTAACCTTCAAGTTTGTCTTGCAACTCTTGATCCAACTCAGCCACGAAACGTCCCATCTTGAGTTCTTCATTCTCCGTGATTTCACACACGATAGAAAGTCTGTCAAACTCTTTGATGTAGTCCTCAGCCGATTCTCCGTTTTGTTGCAAAGTGCTCCACTTCACATATTGACTTTGCTTGAAATTGTGAGGAATAAAACGATCCCTCATCCTTTTCTTCAACTTGCTCCAAGTAGAAATGGACGCCTTACCCCTAAGAGTACGCCCCCTTTGCTCTCCTTGTAGCCAGTTATCTCCATAGCCTTTCAACTTCACCTTGGCTATCTTGTATTTTTGGAACTCCTCTTGAATGTCCTTGTAATTGAAATACCTCTCCAAGGATTTCTCCCATTCCAAGTACTTTTCTAGATCAAGTGTCCCATCAAAGGCAGGGACATCCACTTTGAGACTCCTATCTTCCCTCCTAGGTGGAGGGTCTTCGCCTTGATCTCTCCTATCATGCTCGTTCATGAGCCTTGCCATTAAGGCAGCCAGGTTCCCTTGTAGATTGGCGTTGGTCTCGGCCAACCTCTCTTGACTAGCAATGGATCGATTAAGAGCTTCCAAAGCTGTCCTCAAGTCTTGATTTTCTCCCATGGTATGTAGGTATTTGACCCCTTTGGAAGAATTTAAGAAAACTCTCCCCCTACCTGACGCGCCAAATGATGTGTAAGCAAGGTGAGAAACATGTTTACAAACGGTCTGGAGTGCGTGTTGTGTTTAGTTGAATTTAGAAGTATCAATGTGGAGTAACTAAGAAGGATTAGGGGAACTCTCACCCTTAACCTTGAGGATATAACAATGAGGAACACTCACTCACTTGTTTGGGCGTAGTAGTGATTAGGGAACTCTCACCTATTCGACAACTACCAGTTTAAGTCTTAGGAACTCTCACTAAAACACAAACTCTTCAAATTGAGATAACTCTCAAGTTTGGAAAATTAAACCTGACTAGCACAAGTCAAATTTAGATCATACACTCGTGTGTTTCTTGCAAAAACCTGGACCATCTTTCATTGATCATTAGCATGCTATTTATAGCTTTTAGTACATCATTTAATTGCCACTACACTTAGCTAAAACAAGCAACAAATCAGAAATACAAAGCTGAAAATAAGGGTAGATTAAGTGGCTCATAACCGTCCAACCTAATCCCCATTACAACTAATTATTACTCTAATTAAGAAAGCTTATAACAAGGGAAGAATAACTCCCAAAACGTTCAGCAAATTGACTCCAACATGCTGTCCAAATTCGTCCTCCAAAGCAGCCTTGAAATGCGCCTTTGTAACCTCCCATTTAAGCCTTCATTCAAGCTCCTTTATTACGAAGTTAAACCAGCTTGAAACTCTCCTTAAAGTCTGCATTGAATCCGTCTACATTCCCCCATTATCAAGGTAATTAGTCACGCTCAATATGGTGCAACCAGTTGAGGAATTATATGGACCGTGCACCCCAAAATCCATAGGAGTAGCATCGAAGAAAGAATTAGACAAAATCAATTCCCTAACGTTCAACTCTTGGACTGGAATATCCAAACCTTGACCACTTTGGCCAAAGTCTGTTTTAATTTCATTTTATTCAAAAAGCTTTGTTTGAATGTATTTGACTCTCATTTCATTGAAAAAGATTTGTTTTAATGTGTTAAATTAAACTTTCATTTCATTTAAAAAGATTTGTTTGAATATGTTTGAATGTGTTTGGCTTTCATTTTATTCAAAAAGCTTAGTTTAAATGTTTTTTTAATTTCATTTCATTCAAAAAGCTTTGTTTGAATGTATTTGACTCTCTTTTGATTGAAAAAGCTTTATTTTAATATGTTTAACTTTCTTTCATTTGAAAAACTTTGTTTGAATACACTTGACTTTTATTCGATTCAAAAAGTTTTGTTTGTATGTGTTTGACTTTCATTTGATTCAAAACGCTTTGTTTGAGTGCGTTTGACTTTAATTTGAGTCAATGAGCGTCGTTGAAATCATTTGACTTTCATTCTATTCAAAAAGTTTTGTTTGATATGTTTGACTTTCATTTGATTTAAAAAGCATTGTATGAATGTGGTTAACTTTCATTTGATTCAAAATATTTGATTGAATGTGTTTTACTTCAGTTTGATTCAATTGGCTTCATTTAGTGCATTTGACTTTCATTCAACTCAAAAAGCTTTGTTTGAATGTGTTTGACTTTCATTTGATTCAAAAAGACTTGTCTGAATGTTTTTGAGTTTCATTTAAAACAATTAGCTTCGTTGAATTCGTTTGACTTTTATTCGATTAAAAAATCTTTGTTTGAATGTGTTTGACTTTTGTTTGATTCAAAAAGCATTGTTTGAATGTCTTTGAATTTTCTTTGATTTCAAAAGCTTTGTTTAAATGTGTTTGACTTTCATTTGATTCAATGAGCTTCGTTGAAAGCATTTGACTTTCATTCTATTCAAAAAGCTTTGTTTGATATGTTTGACTTTCATTTGATTTAAAAAGCATTGTATGAATGTGGTTGACTTTCATTTGATTCAAAATATTTTTTTGAATGTGTTTTACTTTAATTTGATTCAATTGGCTTCATTTAGTGCATTTGACTTTCATTCAACTCAAAAAGCTTTGTTTGAATGTGTTTGACTTTCATTTGATTCAAAAAGACTTGTCTGAATGTTTTTGAGTTTCATTTAATACAATTATCTTCATTGAATTCGTTTGACTTTTATTCGATTAAAAAATCTTTGTTTGAATGTGTTTGACTTTTATTTGATTCAAAAAGTATTGTTTGAATGTCTTTGAATTTTCTTTGATTTCAAAAGCTTTGTTTTAATGTGTTTGATTTTCATTTGATTCAATTAGCTTCGTTGAGTGCATTTGACTTTCATTGGATTCAAAACGTTTTGTTTGATTGTGTTTGACTTTCATATGATTCTTAAAGCTTTGTTTGAATGTGTTTGATTCATTTGATCCAAAAAGCTTTGTTTGAATATGTTTGAATGTGTTTGACTTTCAATTGATTCAAAAAGCTTAGTTTAAATGTGTTTTAATTTCATTTTATTCAAAAAGCTTTGTTTGAATGTATTTAACTCTCATTTCATTGAAAAAGATTTGTTTTAATGTGTTAAATTAAACTTTCATTTCATTTAAAAAGCTTTGGTTGAATATGTTTGAATGTGTTTGACTTTCATTTTATTCTAAAAGCTTAGTTTAAATGTTTTTTAATTTCATTTCATTCAAAAAGCTTTGTTTGAATGTATTAGACTCTCATTTGATTGAAAAAGCTTTATTTTAATATTTTTAACTTTATTTCATTTGAAAAACTTTGTTTGAATACACTTGACTTTTATTCGACTCAAAAAGCTTGGTTTGAATGTGTTTGACTTTCATTTGATTCAAAACGCTTTGTTTGAGTGCGTTTGACTTTAATTTTATTCAATGAGCTTCGTTAAAAGCATTTGACTTTCATTCGATTCAAAAAGCTTTGTTTGATATGTTTGACTTTCATTTGATTTAAAAAGCATCGTATGAATGTGGTTGACTTTCATTTGATTCAAAATATTTGTTTGAATGTGTTTTACTTTAATTTGATTCAATTGGCTTCATTTAGTGCATTTGACTTTCATTCAACTCAAAAAGCATTCTTTGAATGTGTTTGACTTTCATTTGATTCAAAAAGACTTGTCTGAATGTTTTTGAGTTTCATTTAATACAATTATCTTCATTGAATTCGTTTGACTTTTATTCGATTAAAAAATCTTTGTTTGAATGTGTTTGACTTTTATTTGATTCAAAAAGAATTGTTTGAATGTCTTTGAATTTTCTTTGATTTCAAAAGCTTTGTTTAAATGTGTTTGATTTTCATTTGATTCAATTAGCTTCGTTGAGTGCATTTGACTTTCATTGGATTCAAAACGTTTTGTTTGATTGTGGTTGACTTTCATATGATTCTTAAAGCTTTGTTTGAATGTGTTTGATTCATTTGATCCAAAAAGCTTTGTTTGAATTCGTTTGAATGTGTTTGACTTTCAATTGATTCAAAAAGCTTTGTTTAAATGTGTTTTAATTTCATATTATTCAAAAATCTTTGTTTGAATGTGTTAAATTAAACTTTCATTTCATTTAAAGAGCTTTGGGTTAATATGTTTGAATGTGTTTGACTTTCATTTTATTCAAAAAGCTTAGTTTAAATGTTTTTTAATTTCATTTCATTAAAAAAGCTTTGTTTGAATGTATTAGACTCTCATTTGATTGAAAAAGCTTTATTTTAATATTTTTAACTTTATTTCATTTGAAAAACTTTGTTTGAATACACATGACTTTTATTCGACTCATAAAGCTTGGTTTGAATGTGTTTGACTTTCATTTGATTCAAAACGCTTTGTTTGAGTGCGTTTGACTTTAATTTTATTCAATGAGCTTTGTTGAAAGCATTTGACTTTCATTCAATTGAAAAAGCTTTGTTTGATATGTTTGACTTTCATTTGATTTAAAAAGCATTGTATGAATGTGGTTGACTTTCATTTGATTCAAAATATTTGTTTGAATGTGTTTTACTTTAATTTGATTCAATTGGCTTCATTTAGTGCATTTTACTTTCATTAAACTCAAAAAGCTTTGTTTGAATGTGTTTGACTTTCATTTGATTCAAAAAGACTTGTCTGAATGTTTTTTATTTTCATTTAATACAATTAGCTTCGTTGAATTTGTTTGACTTTTATTCAATTAAAAAAGCTTTTTTTGAATGTGTTTCACTTTTATTTGATTCAAAAAGCATTGTTTGAATGTCTTTGAATTTTCTTTGATTTCGAAAGCTTTGTTTAAATGTGTTTGACTTTCATTGATTCAATTAGCTTCGTTAAATGCGTTTGACTTTCATTGGTTCAAAACGTTTTGTTTGAATGTGTTTTACTTTCATATGATTCTTAAAGCTTTTTTTGAATGTGTCTGATTCATTTGATTCAAAAACTTTGTTTGAATATGTTTGAATGTGTTTGACTTTCATTTGATTAAAAAAGCTTAGTTGAAATGTGTTTTAATTTCATTTTATTCAAAAAGCTTTGTTTGAATGTATTTGACTCTCATTTCATTGAAAAAGATTTGTTTTAATGTGTTAAATTTAACTTTCATTTCATTTAAAAAGCTTTGTTTGAATATGTTTTAATGTGTTTGACTTTCATTTTATTCAAAAAGCTTAGT